CGGCCCCTCCCCCCCCACACCCCGCGCCCGCCCGTGCCCCCCTTTGGTGCGGGGGGGGGGGAGGGGGGGGAGCCAATGAAAGAGAGCGACTGAGCAGGGGCCATGCAGCTTGGCCTCTGGAGAAAGACCAACCTCTTTGGAAGTCATTCAGCACCATCTCCTGTCCCTTCAAAGGATGCACCCTCTCCAGAGACCAAAGCAAACGCCCTCCAAGCTGAACCCACAAAGTTCAGAGAAAGTGAGCCCCCCACCCCCCGCTCCAACTGAAGCGGGCTATTTCTCCTCAATGAAATACAGGCAAATGATGCATCGGTGGACTGCACACAGACACATAAGCCCACATCTATGATGGCCTGGCCCTTGTGCAAGATCCAGCAGGACTGTGATCTGCTTTTGGGTCACGCGCAAACCAGGCCATGACAGGTGAGGAGAGTGTCTCTCAGTCTAGCCCCGGTGGCTTCACTTCCTACATGCCAATCCCAGAGCCAAGAAGGTCTTACCATAGCCCATTCCTTGAAGGAAGTACTTGAACGCCTCAGTCAGTTTCCCAGGCTGATAAGAAAGCAAAGGGGAAGGAAAGACACATGAGAAAAATTATGAATTTTCAGATATTTCACATTCAAATCCAGTTTGTGAATTTAAATTCTAATTACATTTGTTTTCTACCACCAGTGGTACAAATTCTACATCAAAATCCAAAGAGGGAAGGAAATATGTGAAATGTTCAATGTTGACAGCTGTATTATCATCCATTTGCTGCATCTCTTTAATTGTGTTTTAGCCTGTTTACCCCCTCCCAACTCCCAAAGGTTTGTAAAGATGCTTTGACAAGGCAGCTCCAACCACTTTGGAACCCAAGTGTGAATTCTCTCCACAGCAAGTCACAACGGCACTTGGTGACCCAAGAAGACAACTCGGCTACAGCTGTTCTTTGGAAACTGGCTCAATGGGGGATTTTCACCAGGCCAAATACACCATCCCCACACACAGTACGCATGGGGAGACAGAGCAAAAGCCTTTTCTGCCCTCTGATCCAGTGGCAATGCCATCGGTCCAGGCAGCCCTGCCACCCAGTGCAGGAGAGGGGGCCCTTATCCCAATTTCTGGCTCGCCAGTTTCTCAGGGGCCTGCCTGGAAGCCAGCCGGGGGAGGAGGTGGGCTTGGTTCTAGATACAGAAAGTGGGAGAGCTCACCTGAGTAACTTGGGGAAGCCCTCCGGAATCCGCCATCTAAGAGGAAAGCAGAGGCTGAGCCCGAGCAGGTTCGTCCTGCCCTCGAGACCCCAGACACCCACCCCCCACGCAGATGATTTGATGCTGCCAACCAGATTCCCTGGACCCAGGATGCAGCCATTTTCCACCTTTTCAGGATCCTCCTTCACTTGTTGCTGTTTTTAGTGCAGCTCTGCCCATTCTTATAAAATTATTGGGGAGGGGAAATGAGGTACGGGAAGTAGCAGGAGTTAGCCTCCAAGCCCTAGTAGGGGGGAGGCCAAAGGCTGCAGAGGCCCTGCTCCAATGGAAAGCCCAGAGAGGATGTGGCTGCTAACTCCAAGCCTGAGCAGCTTCAGCCAAAGATAAAGGATGCTGGGAGCTACAGTCAGCAACATTCCCTCCCCCCAACTGCCCTCCTTTTCTTCCTTCCTCAGCGGCTCGAGAGTGGTGGGCACTTGGGGATGAAAGGGAAGCAGCAACAACAGCTGGGAAAGGTGCTGTCTTGGCAACATCTGATGCACTTCTGGAGCAAAAAACTCAGCTTCCTCATTCAGGTAAGCAGGATGAGGCGCCTGTACGGAGCGGTCAGTGGGAAGGAGGGACATTAGCGCTTTCCATCCATGCCACAGCGCTGGCCAAACCCACTCTGCCATCACTTGTACAGGGGCCAATGGCACTTTCCTTCAGGGTCAATGGCAGATTCAAGTTTGGTGTGCCCAACTGTGTCTACAAGTGTGCAAACCCCCACATGCCTGTGCTTAGATTGAAGCTGCGAGGAAAGGGTCTGGAGCGAAGGAAAAGAGATTACACCACATGCTTGACTTTTAGGATTCTGCAGGGAGGACGCACACAAAGCAATTGGGCAACAGAGCAGAGGAACCACTGCTACAATCAGAGGGGGAAGAGGAAAACATCTGGAAACCCTGGCAAGAGTTGGAATGCACCAGTCTGCCAACTCACCTTCAGGAAAGTGGTGATGGTCGGGTCCAGCTTGGAGTTGCATTCAACCTGCAAAGAGCAAAGCCTGAGTCCCACATAATGTCAGGAGTGGGAGGCCACATGCCCCAGCGGGTGCCCAGACAAGAGCAGCAGCCTCCCTTCAGTTAAATCCAAGGAATTCCAGGTGTTAAGCATGCATCTTTTCACTCTGCAACTGGAGAAAATGTTTTTGAGGGGGAGGAAGCAAATGGTGACAGGATTCTTTAAACAGCTTCCCACAACCTGAAGATGGCAGGCATCTTTGTGTACAAAACGGGGCTCTGCCTGTTTTGTATTTATTCTGCTCCCTCCCAGTAATAGCCAGGTAGAACTTCCACCCCCAAACCTCCTTAGGAACCACCATGGAAACTGCAAGTTTGAAGCACCTGCCAGCCCTTTGCCCACAGGTCACCAGGGAAGAGAGAAGGGGAGGACTGGCTGCTCTGGGTCTCTTGCAGCCCTTTTCTCGAGCAGATTCAGGTGAGCCAGTCCACTGTTTCTTGCCAGGTGCTCTTCAGACACAGTGGATCCCAGTGACCATAATGAGAGTCCACTACACTTGGAGGTCACCAGATGGGGAGGGCTGGGTAGCCAAAACCATCCCAAGGAAGTCAAATGCAACACAGCAGCACAGGGGTGCTTGGGGAGGCAATGGCAGCGTTTGTCCCCGGTTGCCTTCTGGGGGCTGCAGCTGAGAAATGGCGCTCTGGGCCTCGTAAAGATAAAGAGCTTCGATCGAGCTTCCAGCCACGAGCAGGCAGGCCCCTTCAGCACAGTCGAATCGACTTCTTTACTCACCACGCCATCTTCTGCCGGTGCATTGTCGCCCACCACCAGCATCACTGGGCAGCTGTGAACCCCAAGGGGAGAAATGCAGTCAGCAGAATGGCTTCTCTCCCGGCCACTGCCATCCCGCTGTCCTGCTGGGACTTACCGGAGCGTCTTGGCATTGGGCATGCTGCCAGGGCGGTTCATCTCCAGGTCTCTGCGGCTGAGAGAAACAGAACAACTTCAAGAAGTCATTCAAGAAGACGCGCAGGCCAGGGGATGTTTCTAAGCTAGGTTTTTGCCCTTGCTTTTTGACAGAGCCAAGTTGGGGCTTCCTTGGAAAATGGGAGCTTCCACGAAGGGTGGGTGTGCTGGCTGGGAATGATGGGAATTGCAGTCCAAGACATCTGAAGGACAAAGCACTTTCACACCGGTCCAAGAGAGAGTTACTAGCAGGAAGTCCACCTGTCCTCCTGCCTGCTTCAGCCCACCGTGGAACAGCGCCTTGGTGGATGTCCCTTAGCAACACCACCGGTCTCCCTGTTTCAAATGCTTTTGCCTCCTGGTGGAAGGATGACATAGCAGGAGGGAGAACCAGTTGGCTGGCATCCGTTCCCTTGGTAGGGGCTTCAAAGCCCCAAGATCAGCCTCTGTAGCAGGGCTACCCCTCGCACTCCTCACAGACATGCGTCTGGAGTCGGGAATAAAGAAGACATTGACGTTAAGACAACCTGGTTTTTCAGGACTCAGGAATGTGAGGTTTTATATGCCCTAACTAGCACTCTGAACTGTGTCCAGAAACAGGCCAGTACTGTACTCGTGTTCCTCACAAGCAGCTGCAGGTATCAGTCTGGCTGCAGCATTGTGGACCAGCCAAACACTTTTCAAGGTCAGTCCCACGTGTGGGATGTCACAGGAGTCCAGATGGGATGCAAGTGAGGGCAGATTGCTCTGACTACTCCTAGAATGGGGGCACCTGGCATGGAGGTTCAGGGCCCCATCTAATCATGAGGGAAAATGTTTCTTAAGCTTTTATTCCAAATCAAGGCTGTGTTTCAAAATACTCAATTCGTTATTTGCTTTGCCTTCTAACATGGTGCTGCTGCTACTTTTATTCCTTGGTGATGATTCGTAACTTAATTAATTGGCTTATTCTGGGTTTAATTGTTCACCCTGAAAGTTTGGCTACATGATGACTCACAAGCTCAAGCAGACTAACCTCCAAGGAATGTTATTCACACCATTAAGCAGATTTTTTTTTTAAATGCAGCTTTACAAGCAGTGAGAGCAACTGACAAAGATAAGCAGGGAGATAAAGGGTACAGCAGAAAATTTTAGAACATGTAAGAGTTTACAGCAATGAGACTGCCAGAGGCAACCCACTCCACATGCTGGGTGCCACAACAGAAAAGCCCCCTCCCAAAGTGTCGCCACCTCTGGTTCCAAGGACCAAGATGGATGTTTCACAAACCGCCTCTGTGTAATCTTTTAAAAGGGGAAAAACCCAGACTTGTCGGATGGCAGTAACCTGGTCTCAGCGCTGCTGCTTTTGTGTGCCAGGAGCCAGCCCTGTTTCAAACAAGCTTAACTTGCAGGGGACCATAGAGGGGCACAGCAGCTAAGCTTCCCACTCCTGGTTTCTACAAACAGGACGAGGGTATTTCCCAGGATGCAGAAGTCCGAGCTGACTCCCCTTCCTCCGACTGCCTTTCAGAACAGGCCTCGTCGCAGTCCAAAGGGGCTCAGGGTCATAGGCAGCTTTTGGGGGCCCTGCTTTACCTGTTGTACATATTCCAGAAGAGCTGCAAGTTGAACTGGTTCACCATGCTGGCAATTTGCTGACGATAACTCTGCACCAGCTCCACGTTATTAGCCAACTCCTCCTGTGGGCATGGAGACGGCACAGGCAAAGGCGGGCCTGGGAACCAGCTCCCAGAGCCCAGGCCATTTGTTGAGGAGGCAGCCAGCCCCCAAAGCCCAGCCTTGCTTGGGACCTACGGCTCTTGCCTCTCTCAGGTCAGGCCTGGAATACAGGGCCTGCAAGGCAGCAGCTGATGGCTAGCACTTCCACCCTAACCCTTTCGCACAGCCCATCCCAGTCTGGTTCCTGGGGGAAGAACCTGCAGGGGGTGGGGGGCACGGAAAGAGGCTTTTGCAGCACCAGTAACAGGCAAGCTGGGTACAGAGGTTCTGGGACCAGTCTTAAAGGGGGGGATGTATCTGTCCTCCCACCAGCAGCTCTGGGGTCTACCTGCATTGAAGGGGGCACCCCCTCCCACTCAGCATGAAATACAACCCAACTATTCAGATGAGACTTGATCGCAGATCCCACAGTGCCTGCCCAATTTCCAGTGTTAGTGGCTTGGGACATCAGGGAAAACCATCAGCAGGGAACGGCTTCTTATCCCCACCGCCATCTTTGCATGTGTGAATGGGCCTTTTAAAACAGCTTCTACAGTCATCCTACTAGAGGCTGCCAGTCTTACACAGCAGTGATCCTAAGAGGAGGGGAAGGGATTCCATGTCTTGTAGGAAGGACCCTTAAGAGACATACTCCTCACTCCCACCTGCTGCTGCTGCTCTGTCTTACCTGGCTGAACAGGTGAGATAGCACCACGTCAGATAACGTGCTGGTCAGGCCAGAGAGCTGAAAGAGGGAAAGAGGTGTCGAGCCAAGGATCACCCTCTTAGATCCAATGCAAAAGCCAGCCGGATGCTCAGAGTCCCCAGCGTTCAGACAGAGCCTCAGACCCCTTCTCTTTGCCAATACCCCGCCTTTGATACCCAGAGCCTCTGCATAAAGAGGTTCCATGGCTGATGTAGAGTGCTCTTCCTACATGATCCTTTTCCCAACCTGATCCCTGCCAGATGTGTCTCTGCCACCTCTCCAGATGTTCTACACCACTGCATTCAGGTTGTCTCCATTTTCCAGTCCTTTTTGGCACACCCATCTCATCAGCCTGGAAAAATTATACACTGACCCACCCTGGAAGCCCACCTTGCTGGCAGCCCAGTCAATCCAGCCTTTGGCATTTGGGTCAACGTTAATCAGAACAAGGCCTTCAACCAGATCTGGGAAGATCAGCTGCAGTAAAACAGACACAGAGTTTATTCTGGATAACAGATTTGCAAGCATCCAAAGGCAAGGGAATATGCCTGTTAATACAAATGCACTGGAAAGATAACCTACAGGTTGCATTCATACAGCACACTTAACCAGATCCATATAAGATCTGGAGGCTACATTTGGATAATGTGTGAAACTATGGCTGTGCAACGCGCTTGAAACAGGTGTTCTGAAAAACACATCAGCATAAACCAAGTCCTTCCTTTGAAGCCCTGAAGCAGCTACACCTTCTGCAAGCTTCAGAAGCATTTGCTGGCCATTTCTGCATCAGCTTTGCCTACTTCTCAACAAGAAAGTGTTTGCATGCACACACACGGACGTCTCAGCCCCTGAAGCAGCTGCATGAGCCTTGCAAAAGCTGCAGTTGCCTTACACTTTGAAAACAGGGGCTTTTTTCATGCTAACAGGCTTTGCAAAGCCCCCTTTTCAAAAGTGTTATGAAGTCCTAGTACTTACTCGAAGTTAAAATATTAAAGAAGTGGGCTTGTTATTTGAGAAGATTCCTGAAAGAGCCTTCTGGTCATTATGAATGTTGAAAACATGGTCCCAGAGATATCTGTGGAACTTCCTGACACTGTGATATAAGCAAGGGCTTCAACTTGCATATGAAGAACCAGGCTTGGGGAAGGATGATGAAATGGAAAAAGAAAGTAGTTGGGGGAGGATGGGGTCAAGCCAAAGGAAGGGAGATAGGAAATACATAGGCAACATGGTTGGTCCCAAAGTTGACACTAAGGGGCAGAAGGAGTGACTGCAAGGGTAGTGCCAGGTCTATCTGTAATAAGGCCAGCTTAACTGATTGTGGGTGAAAGGAGACCAAGCATCTCTTTCTGGGTGCATGAGGACAGGGCGACTGAGAAATTCCCACAAGGGCCTCAGGCACTGCATCAGCCCCAAGCTCAAGGATGGAGTGGGGCTGGGGAGTACATTTTGTGAGATTTGATGTTTTTGGTCATAGCTATGTTTCTCTCAACTTAAAGTCACCTTTTGTGAAAGGAAGGTATGTTAAAAACCGAGAAGCCCTAGGAAGGCTTGAGGCTCCTATTTCCTTTTTGGAGCAAGTCACTAAGAAGGTGACACTGAAGTTCAAAAGGTCAAAATAGCGCAGAACTTCCTGAAGACCAGCAGCAGTTTCCTTCACTGCTGATCTCCTAGTCAGAATATCATCCGAGTATGGCTCAACAGGAAGGAGGGTATCCATGAAGTGATGGAATATTCCAGAGGTCACAGAGATTTGAAATTGGGCACATTTAGCTGGGAATTTATTTATATATATTCATCAGCCTGCGTGCCACTTCCATCACAAAGTGACTCTAGGCAGCTTACAAAACAGGATTAAAACCTCAAGTAAAAAAAACTACAAAAAAGACAAAACCAGTAGTAAAACACATAGTGCGCGTTGGGAAGGAGTCCCTAAAGAAACATATCCCAGCGCACCACCATCAGGGAACTGGCCTGTGGGAATCTGCATCCGATTTTGCAAGGGTTCCTACCCAGCAAGAACTGCAATTGGCCGGTTGCAGGCCCTGGACACGGAGACTGCTTAAATGCCTAATCCACAGTGTTCTGATAATCTCCACCCAACCTCCCTTTTCCATGAATACGGGGATGATAGGTAGAGTTGACTAGGCCTCTGCAACTTCCAAGAACTCCTTGTCTCCCCTTTTGGACTTTTTGCGGGAAACAGAAAAAATGAAATTATGACATATGGATTTGATGATTAGTAAAACTAATAGATTACAGAAAAAATGGAAGCTAAATTATAATCCTAGAGTTTAATGTATGTTTTACTCATATCTGCTGTAAAAGAAGCCAGAAGTCATTTTTTTTGTATTTCTGCTACTTTTTTTATCTTTCTGCACTTCTCCTTCTTTCTCTTTATTCTTTCTTTTTTTCCACTCTTTTTCTTGATTATTGGTTCTTGTTAGTTTTTATCTTTGTTTTTAAACTTTATTATATAATAAAGTTATTATATAAAGAACTTCTCTGACAGAATTTTGAAGGCATTCTAGTTTTTCCATCTAAGGCAGAGGGCATATTTCTGACGTTCATGTGAAGAGGTCCAAGCCCTGATAAAAGCAGAAGAGCTTTAAGCTAGATTAATGTCCACTGGGTTGGGCCACATGGTTTCTACTCTAGAGGATGCCAAAGGAGAGTGTTCCTAGGTGCTATTCGTTCCTTCTCAGAATGTGGCATATAATGCATACAAAATCCCTCTGTTTAGGAACCATTTCTCTTAAACACTAGCACACAAAGACCAGGGCTGAGCACTTACAGCGAATTTGGCAAGGATATAGGCACCTGCTCCAACTCCAATTCCAATCACATATTTGAACCTATGAAAAGAAAAGCATCAGAGACTTCTTTGCACCACTTCCTTGCCTCACTCACAGCCAGGTTTCCACAGCCCGCTTCCAAGCCTCCATGGTTCAGTTTAGGGCCAAATAGAATTGGGGTCTTGATGCTTGCTGAACTCTTTCACTCCAGATTTGCTTATAGTATAAATGATACCAAACAATCATATACTTCACAGGAATAAGCTTGTTGTAGATGAACATATATAAACCAAACTAGCTAGTTAGAAAAGAAATAAGATGTACATATATTTACTCCAACCAAGGTTCCCACGTTTTTTTTTTTTAAGGAAAACCTTCATCAGAGGAATAGTGCAGTAAAAATGCATTAAAAACATGGGTATGAGTATTCTTTTCCATCTATAATCACAAAGCAACTTATTACTTCAAAATAATAGCTGTTAAATCAGTAATAATTTATTTGAATACTTCACCCATCTTGCACTCACTGCCTTACTACTTATGAAATATGGGTCCAGCTTTTTGTAGAAACCCACCAGTGGTGTCCAATTTCTTTTCAAGAAGCTCCAAAACATGCTATCTCTATAACAACTTTGTTAGGCTAAGCAGGAAAGTGGGACGGGGTTTGATGTGAGCCCTGCTCAGCCTAAACACCCCACTGGGCCCCCAACTCAAGCTTTATCAAATAACGGTTGGGCCCTACTGGCTCCATGGGCTCATTCTTAAATATTTTCAGGCAAGGCTCTTCAACTGTTCAACCACTTGCTCAAAAGGGCCAAATTCTACGTTTTGGAAAAATATCCCACATCCTCCATGGGTGTTTGTTCAACCACCTCTAAAGCAGGAAATCCCAAATATCTTTAAACAGCAAATTGCAGGTGAGGATGATGAGCCAGTTTGGTCTGGTGCTTAAAGGCACCAGTCCAGAAACTGGGAGACGGTGAGTTCTAGTCCTGCCTTAGGCACAAAGCCAACTGGGCCAGTCATTCTCTCTCAGCCCTAGGAAGGAGCAGGCAGTGGCAAACCGCTGCCAAGAATGTGGCCAAGAAAACTGGTCACCAGGCACAAGAGTAACAAAGTATTTGGCGACAAATACTCTCGTTCTTGTACCACCCTATAAAGGCCATTCTGCTATGGCAATTTGAGCCCCCCAAACAACTTGATGACACCTAACGCTCACCCAAAATGTTGGACCACGCTGGGCAACATGGCGGCTAACTGGTCCATGGAAGGGTACTGGTACCTGTGGAAACAGAACAGATGAGCAGACCAGAAAGGTTCAATCTTATCCTGGTGTGGGGCCAGGTACTCAAAAAGCAGGGGCCAGGTACTCAGCAAACACCCGCTCTCCCTTCTCTGGGGTAGCTGCTCCAATGTGTAAGTCTCTCTCCTCTGAGTTAGCCTGGGATTCCTCTATCCCCAACTGGGGCAGCTCTATAGGCGTGGGGCTGCTATGCCTGGCTCCCACGGTCCCTATATTTGCAATTCTGCAGCTAACCCTAACGAAATTCAGAGCACGTTTGCCTGGATTAACTCACAGGTTAATTAATCCCTTAGACACTCTGTCATTATTTTTTACACGATTTGCATAGCACCAACTTCAAAGTGACAGTAGCAGTTTGTGATAAAAAAACTGTCACCCTATTGCCGCCAGACCTTGCTGCGGTGGCACGCGCACGGATTGCTACCACCCCTGCATGACGAAGCAGGCCCTTCTGAAGGAGCACTTATGGCCCCCCTTTGAGTCCTCTCTGAGCGCCCCACAGCAGTGATTCTGGGGCAGAATCAAGGGGCCCAGAACAGGCCTGGCAAGGAACCACCAGGGACACAATCGCAGCCTGCCCCCTAAGAGGGGGCAAAGGCATGCTGGAAGATGCTCACCCCTGAGGAAACTGGGAGGCCCCAGCCTGCTGCCCTGGAGCATCCACGTGGCAGACCACAAAGTGTTTCGTGATCTCCTGCATGTCCTCAGAATTGAAGAGAGTGTTGAAGCACAGCTTGTCTGCAAGAAATTAAAAAAAAAACAGGGATAAAAAATAGGATTAAAACCAAGTGGCACCTCTTCTAAAATAAACCCTGAGCTCCCTCTGGGACCAGTTGGCTCTCTTAATATTCCAGGAGAGACAATCTGAGGCCTCTTTCCCTGTCTTGAGGCCAGAACTCTCTCGGCCCACAGACTGCACCGTCTCTTGTTGCTCCGACACTAAAGCATTTTAGGACTGGTGAGACTGCTGCTTTTCCATAATGAATAAAAGTGGAATGAAGATGATGGTTATTTACTCATGCCTTTCCAACACTCTCTGCAATTCAGCTGTGATCTTTTCCAACATTACTCAAGCCCTTCCTGTTTGTAGATTCAACCCATTTCAGTGTTTCCTGCAGGGAGGCTGAGGGACAATTTGCAACCTTATCAGGGCAAGCGAAGGCACTCTTGCAAATGAGCAAATCTGCTCCCTTGAAGGAGCCCGCCCAGCTTCCACTGACTGGAATCTCTTCCTTTGCCTATCCTTATCCGCACAGGTCTCCAACGCGGAAACGGCTGAAATAAACCGGGGCAGGAAAAGAGGAGAGCTAGGTCATTCCTGCAAAAGAGCCCCTTCATATGTTCATACTTATTAACTGGCCTTCAGCTTACAGCAATATCAAACAATTTTAAAATATTTTTGAATGTGTAAGCTGAAAATTGATACATACTCCCATATTTAAACTAAACAGCGTAGGCAATTCTTCCATTTCCAAGGTGATGTCCTGCTGTTTCACTATGTACATCAACATAAAAACGGGAGGAGACAAGCAATTAAAGTTCCCCTACCATATGTTCGCCCTTTCTGCAGAACTAGGGACAGCCTGGGAATTAAGGTAGGCCTTTCCTCTGCTCCACCACCCCACCCAGGCAGACCCTGGGCAGTAATTCCTGAACTTCAGGAGACAAGGATCTTGGGACGCTCTACCAACTTCACCCCTGGCACTATACACCTGAAAAAATACAGGGTGGTTTGGCAAAGGAGAGTGACGGTGAGCCTCTCTCGGCACACGTCTCAGTCCTTGGGAAGAAGGGAGCAGATTCTGGGGAAAAGACTTCCAAGAGGCAGGAGCCTACTGGTGTCTTCCCCCTCGCGGTGGGCCAGACTGGCAGGCCATTTCTCTTCCCCTCTGCAGACCTCCAAGGTTACCACATTGAACAGCAGCTGCAGGACTCAGCCACTGGCAGCAGCCTAAACAGGGGGTAACCCAGGGACCAAGTGGTAGAATCCACACCATTCATTCATCCCTCCCTCCCAGCTTCAACCACCAATCACCCCCCTGAAGGTGTGGTGGGGCTCCCCCACATAAATCCCAAATAAACATGTCTGCTGCCTCGGGACTGATGGGGCAATCAGTGGAATGATCCAACCTGTGTTTACAGAAGAGGGGAAGGGACGGATACTTTAGAAGGCCTCCCCACCCCAGAGCTCTCAGTGCAGAAAATTGCCTGGTGAGGCCCATTTCATGCCCCCATGCCTCAGGGCTGAGCCTCCTTCAGTTCAATGTGACTTAATTCCAGAAGATCATTGGGATCTTCCATCCTCTTCTCTCCACAGATCCCTCCCCATATCTGCCAGCAGGAAAAATGTTCTTAGGAAGACATGCCTTTTTTATTCTCGCTTCTTGTCGGTTGGTAGTCAGTCTTATAGGACTGTTAGAATCCAAAAACTATAGAAAGAAACAAGCTGTGCTATATTCACAGCATTTTCATGATCTAACAAGCTAATTAATTCCATTTTAAAAGGGAGAAACTTTTGTCCAACATAGCTTATTCATGGTACACCTGTGAAACTTCCTAATAATCACTTTTCTTAATGATCATAGAATAACCTCTTCATTTTGGTCCGAATTCAAGAATTCAGTTCCAAAATAATGTAGCTACCTAAATGTTCTTAGGAAGACATGCCTTTTTTATTCTCGCTCCTTGTCGGTTGGTAGTCAGTCTTATAGGACTGTTAGAATCCAAAAACTATAGAAAGAAACAAGCTGTGCTATATTCACAGCATTTTCATGATCTAACAAGCTAATTAATTCCATTTTAAAAGGGAGAAACTTTTGTCCAACATAGCTTATTCATGGTACACCTGTGAAACTTCCTAATAATCACTTTTCTTAATGATCATAGACTAACCTCTTCATTTTGGTCCGAATTCAAGAATTCAGTTCCAAAATAATGTAGCTACCTTAATGGGATCCACCTTGTCCTCCCTTAAACAAAAGGATTTAGCTTAAAGCTCTTTTGATTAAGTTTCCATCGCCCAGAAGATCTTCATTTCAGTGGTATAAATGTGCATCCAAGAGACCCAAACTTTCCATCGGGGCTCCCGTCAGCTGCTCCCTTTTAAGATGCTACTTTCCACTACCAGCAACCCAAAAGGCACATCAGAAACATCACTCTCTTCTCGCTCCCATCTGGAAATTCCAGATTTCCTCTGGCTGAGTCACCGGTGTACCTGTTTGGATACGCTGGAACGAACAGCAGCCAGTGCTTTGCCTCCATCTACCATTTCTAGAAAAGAAGGGCTCTTGAGATAATGGCAGATGGCTGCCTCTGTACCTTCAGCTTCAGCCTCCCTGTCTCTTACTGTCCACACGAGTTCTTTCTTGCTATGTCATGGTACCAGTGGCCCCAGCTAAGTTTGCTGGCGACATTCCAAGCTTATTCGTTTTTTGTGGATTTGTGTGTTTGCAAGCATGGCCTTTTTAATCAATTTATGCTTCAAAGTATTATGCAAACACAGCCAACGTTAGACCGTTTGTTGAACTAAGATTAGGGAAAAGAAATCCATTGCAGCATCTTCAGCATTTACGTCCTTGTCCGTAGAACAGATCCAGGCTAAGGCCAAAAAGGACAGAAAACCTTTTTGCTATGTTCATGCAGCATACGCAAATTAGTTAATACATTTTCTGGATTCACATTATACACTGAATTACAAATTAACCAAAAGAATTGGGTTTGCACGCTAGGCTAAGCCATCAAAACTAAGTCCTGGGGCTTTGAAAAACTTCATGTATCGTCAAATGTCAACAAGATGGCAGCCTGTCACTGACCACGTCAATCCCGCTTCTTTCTGGTAGCCAAGCACAAACAGCCAGTTGCCAAGTCAGGCACAACAGGAACCAGGCTTAGGGAAAAGGGGGCTGTCCCTCCTTCCCCAACCCAAATTAAAAGTGATCCACTTACGATTGAGCCCCACATCATGGTACGTCAGGAGGGCCGGGCGGTTTCCTCTGGGGGATCCCCGAAGGACAACGTGCAGCAGTCCGTATGGCGTTTCGATGTCATGCTCCTGCAGGAGAGGAGGAGAGGTGGCAACACTCAGGTCAGCCCGGCAGAAAGGAGGGTCTCGGTCTGGTTCCTAAGGGAGGCCCAGAGGAAGCCGTGGCACTGAGAGCATTCTTCCATCTGGCTTGCCTGGCTCGCCTTCACACAAGAGCCCTGCTCACACAACCCACACTCTTTGCATGCTATCACCTCACCCTCAAGGGTTACCAACAAAAGTGCCTTGGGCATCGCTCCACCAAAACAGCTGAGCATTTTATGGCTGAGAACACATTTTCTGGGTTACACCATATGTTGAACCATGAACAAACCAGATGCTCAGCCCCAGAAAAAGATTAGCCAAGTTGATTATGTTGTGCAAATGCATCAGCTGCATTTTTACCTATTATAAACACAAATATAACTGCACTCTATGACACTCTCTGGAGCTCCAGTGAGAGTAAACAACACACAGCTTCACCCGTGGTGAATTTGTCTCCTCTGTAAACATGCGGGGGAGCAGATCGGCTGGGCCCCTTTGCTGCTGCTCGATCCTCAGAGTCTCCTTCTCTGCAGGGAGGCACCAAGCCCTCCTCGAATCTCTCTGCTCCGCCTCGCCGCACAAGGACAAGGCTCCCTGTTGGAGTAGCGCGGTCTAATGACGGAAGGGCCTCTCCTCCCACACGCAGCAGCCGAGAAACCCAGAGCCAGCTAATGAAGGGCCTGAGCCTCTGCCAAAGCAGCAGCTTTCCAAGAGGTGATCGAACCCCTCTAGATGGGCCCAGCTGAAACCTACTCAGGACATCAGGCTGACTAAGCAAGGAGAGGCGCCAGGGGCCAAGCACTGGAGACCTGAAAGTCGGCAGCATCCAAAACGCAGGCCACGGGCAGGACCCGTGACTCGTGGGTACTTGGACCCCACCTGCAGCTGCCGCTGAAGGAGAACAAGCCACAAGGTCAAAACCTTCATTTTGCATTTGCAGCGAAATATTTAATGAAGCGTCTCAACATTTTGTGCTCAAAATGGTTCAGACTAAAATGGTTTGCGTGGCTTATCCATCATTTTGTACCTTAGTGATAACGTCGGAGAGCCTGGAAGCCCAGCAGACACCCATCATCCCCGGCAGGCCAGCCTTGTCTCAAACCACAGGGAACCAGGCTGGGCACCTGGAAAGCCACCCGCGCAACCCGCCAGAGGCAACCCAGCAAGGCTCCCCTTGCCGAGAAGGGCCCTCAAGGTCCTCCAGCAGGACGGCTGCCTTCTCCCTCCAGCGGCAACCCGGGCAACCGCCGAAGTCCCGCGTAGCCTCAACGGAGCTCCAGGCCCCTCGGCTGAAAGACGCCAAGAGGGCCCGGAAGCCTCTCCCGGAAGAAGGAGCACCAGCGTCGGGGGCCCCAAGCTCGGCTCCGGCCGAGGGGCCCAAGAGCTCAGCTGCCCGGCCCCTTGGGCAGGACGGGGGACTCCGCCGCGACG